ATATATATATATATATATATATATATATATATAAGTGGTACATCAAAATCGTGACATCCGACACGTTAAAAGAATGAAGGAAACGCAGGTTCTACCGAAAGCTTTAATCATCACAGTACCTTCGTAGGCAAGTGGTTATGATGTTCGCCATGTTAGATTTTTTGTTTAGTTTTAATTATTATTATTATTATTATTATTATTATTATTATTATTATTATTATTATTATTATTATTAATCTTATCATTATGATTATTATTATTATTATTATTATTTTATTGTTCTAAATGTGAATTTCTTTGCGCATATTTGTTAAATCGCAGTGTATATAACATTTTTGTAAAAGTTGATGCGTTAGTGACTTTCGTTCTTTCTTTTTTTTGGCCTATATTCAATTTTGTGATTAATAATTCCCCGTTCCTTCACAAAGATTCCATATACCTACATGTTTAACAGTTACCTTTATTCCTGCACTTCTTGTGACACGATAAATTAAAGATACATTGTTTGAAGCATGTATCATCCATAGCACCTGTAATAAGAACAATGAATTCATAATTTTTTTTCCCTAGAATAAGTATTTTCAAATTAAATGATTTCTTTTTTTCACATACCAGTGGCGTAGGTACGGGGCAGTGCAGCCAGTGCAAAGCACGGGCCCTGGGCTATTAGGGCCTCATTCATAAATAGACCTAAAAAGTAATAATTAAAAATAACTTCCAACTTATTTGAAGAAATGTAACGGCCAGCGGGCCTCTAATATTATTCGGTTTTTAAAGGAGTAATTATTGATTACTGTGTTGATTAAGTGGTGTATTCAAGGGCTCTCCAGTCTGCCCGACCTCCTATATTTTTCAAAATTATTAAAAAGGTGATAAAAGGAAATTATATTATATGTCTGAGAGTGTCGTTTCCGGCCTACAGAGGTGCTATAATCATACGTTTTTCTTACCTCAGTCCCAACCATGGTGAGACTGAGGTAGTCTACATCCTGCGCCTGTGGAGATCCATTCCTGGCACATTTATTTCGAATTCCCACGTTTCCGATTCGTAGACGCCAACGTACCTATTCTTAACATACTTATTTGATTATCTGATTGGTTCGGTAGGCCTTCCGATTAGAAAATTCGGATTCTGTGTGGATGTACCTTAATGCATGTAGAATCATAAATCAATTAAGCAATCAATCAAATCAAATTTGTATTGCGCCATTTCCAAAAAATGATCAAAGGTGCATTGTACCCCGAAGATTGGTGTACAAATACATCTTAAGGTTTATTTTACAAGAATCAAGAGAGGTTTGTTTCAAAGAGAAGATACAGCACAAGAAAAAGTACGACCACCGTAAATCTTAGTACGGAAACAAGGAAGAGATAGCAATGATTTGCCAGAAGAACGAAGGCGGCGAGATGGAGAACATATAGAGGAACTACTTGAGTGATATAAGACGGACGAGAAATTAATCAAGCTTTAGGCCTGTAAGTTGAAATAAGGATCTTGAAACAATTCGTTGTTTAACGGGGAGCCAATGAAGGGCATATGGAAGTAATATGATGACGGCGTGGCGTAAGAATTTTGTATTTTTTGAAGCCGTTAAAGAGAAGAAGGCAGCCGAGAAAAAAGACAAGGGAATTGCAGTAATCGAGTTTTGTTGAAATAAAAGCATGAACACAAGCGTTTCAGCCGAGTTAGGTGATTTGCAGGTGGAACTGATATGTTGGTCGAAAGTGAGGGATTGGTCCAATATCACACCGAGATTACTGACTGAGATTGCAGGATTTTGCGTTTTATCGGAGAATGTAGAGTTTTACCAAAGTTGGTTACAAGAAATCTGTAATTTTCATTTAATTATATCTAAAACGCTATAGAACGATCGTTAATTTACTTGGTTATCTTATGTATTTGAATTTTTGTAAAATTAAAATTCAAATAAATTCTATCACATAAAAGGACGTGCTTTAAAGGATAAGAAAACGTAAACTACAGTATACACATTTTTTTCCCGCAAGTACTGTATTTGGGAAAGTATTGAGTGTTCAGTACGATAACACGTCAGGTAGGGCTAAACATTACTCATAGTATAAAAAAATAAAAATGAAACCAAAAAGGATGTGTCAACTTACCCGATGCCGAAATAATGACTAAAAGAAGACAAATTGTCGTGAGTTTCATCGTGATCATTGGTAAACCCGTCTACACAGCACACATTAACTTCAAAACCTGACAGTGCAATCAGTTAGAGTTTCCCTATTCTTATACGGTGAAGCAAAACAACCTCCGTCAGCCAATGACAAGTGTAGCTATGGTTTCACTTAATGTGATAATTGATTAAAGCACAGTGATGATTATGCCTACACACTATATTAATAAACCAAGCTTAACTTATATATCCATGATTCTTATAACATGCCAATCTGGGGTGGCGCCAGCAGGTGGGGGTGGGGGAGGGGCAGGGCCCCCGTCGGGGCGAAAAGGCACAATTCGTCGGAGAAAAAAAAAGTTATATGTATTTCTACAAATTAGTAGAATGTAAAATCGATTAAATAAACCTTTGAAATCCCTAAATTGTCAAAATTTTCGGGGGCCTTGGCCACTTTCTGAACCTTTTAATCGAAGCTCGACCACGCCCACTCTGGTTTCGTCGGGGAAATCTTATCCCTCGTCGTGGGATTTCCATTTCCGGCACTCCTGCCTCAACCGATCGACCAAGGTTATTTAAGGGGTGATGAGGGATAAGTTAAATTTCCAAAGGCGCATTATCGACTAATGGGCTTTGCTGTTAATTAAAATATCAAGATTTAATATTATTATTATTTCTCAAAATTTTTAAACACAGACCCTTTAAATGTATAATTAGTAGTCTAATTTCTAAAGATAGAGTTGGAGCAAAACTGTCGCAATAATATGCTAAATTAAAAAAAATTGAACAGAACAACGTTTCGATTTATTGAAGCGGTTTGGCGCAGCGTAAAAGGTTTGGTTTCCCAACCTCGAGGTCGGGGTTTCAATCCCTCTCTGTGCATTTCGCTTGTGTCCTTGAGCAAGACACTTTATCTGCATTGCTTCTCTCCACCCAGTAAGTATAAATGGGTACCTGGTGGGGTTTCTTGCTCCTGCGCTGAATACAGCAGCAACACTTAGCATGTGGATCCAATGACGAGGGACAGAAGCGCTTCGTATCTGCAAAGAAAGGCGCTATATTAATAAATATGATTAAATTAGATGTATGTATAAAAAGGTGTTTTTTCGGGTCGGCAGCATATGTGCCCTTCTATCTCCCTGTACATGTTTACGTAGTTTGCAAATATACATGTTCTACATAATTTAGGGATTTCAAAGGCTTATTTAATCGATTTTAGAGTCTAATAACACGTAGAAAATGCATATAACTTTTTTTTCTCTCTCCCTGACGAATAGTTTTTTTTTCTTCCTGACTGCTGTGGTTCTGAGCCTTATAATAAATCATTAGGCCTATGTAAATATATTCCATAATCACACTTTTGATGATAGGATTTTGATATTTGGATAAAGTCCTATAGGACTCGGTTAAGTTCTATAAAATTATTGCAAACCTTTAGAACACCTTTAAGATCATTTAGGGATCCTATAGTAGGAACCTATAGGATTTCTGTAGGATATTTTTGTAAGGGGTACCGGTATTTTATGCCACTAAATAAAATCTGTTTTGAGGCTGAGGAAGTCGAAAGCTGGCATGGCTAAGATTTCGACCTATTCCATGATCTAGTAAAAATCAATAGGGCCAGAGTTTGGTACCGTTTTGAGAATCCGATATGGATATATCTTAATTCACTAAGTACGTTACGTATAGATGAGAGTCTCACCTTTGTGTTGGGGTGGGGGTGATCTTGTTGAAACAGATATAAGGCTGGGATCAGAACTATTTAAAAAAGTAATCAGCTTTTAGTTGTGTATGTGAAGCATGAAGAGCTGGGAATAACGAAATAGTCATTTTAATATTGACTTGATATTTGTGAAGTATATTATAATCAATATCGAGTCATATTAATGACGATTAAATTTTGACTCTTATTATGCTGGTATTTCATAAAATGTAAATGTTCGTTATTAAATGTTATATATGTTGATTTAATTGCCCTATCCAGATGTTTTTATATGTGTGCTATTTACCATTTCGTTAGCAATCGAATATTATCGCACCAACATTTATAAATATGGTATGACAATTGGCCAAAGTAATATAGATAGTAATATTTCATTCCTTAATTAAACATCATAAGGAATTATTTAATCGATATGACCTGTCGTGGGCCTAATGGTCACAAAATTTGCTTTATTTTAGGTCCCCACTTGTACTTATATAATTGTTTCTTTTTTATATTGTATTGTTTGGTGAAATAAAGAATTTGATTTGAAACTGGAGTGATATCACCGATACGTTTTCTGGTTTCATCAATACATTTTTTTTTTATCAAACATCTGTTTCAGAGTAAATACCGTGCGAAGAATACCAAACATAAATGACTTATTACCATGCAGTGAAATGAAAGTATTTATTTGTTTAAAAGGCAACACAATTATGGTTCGATATCGAGTTAAAATAATATCCACCTGTTTCAATAAAGTGTTTAGTTGTAAGCGTGAGATCGGAAGCTTATAATCATTTTCAATATTCTGGGCCCTTGGTGTTATAACCAAGTCTCTTTATAAGGTTCGAGGGTAATAGAGCTAATAATTTAGAATCCGGCCATAATGCTTTATAAGAAAGTCTATTTATGAGGCTTAAAGATGTATTGTCCCATGCTAATTACCAAAAAAAAAATCATAAAAATATTTTTTGAAATTAATTTGCCCATTTTGAAGGAACATAAAAGTTATCCACTTGAACACAGAAATTAGTGTATTTTAAAAATTTCTACCCATCAGTTTACAGCGAAAAATAATAATGCAATATGAGCAAGTTTATTTCAAATTTATTTTTTATGATTTTTGATATTAGCAAGGGACAATACATCTTTAAGCTTAAAAATAAATAATAAATATTTCGACATATCCTTAGGTCTTAATAAAAGGTAGATA